TATTATGATATATTATCCTTTGTATGTAGTAATAAATTCAGTTAATTTTTTCAAGTTTTGCATCCTTTAACTTGAAAAGATTAACATACACTTTTTTGCTCATAATTTCTATGTCAGGTTTGCTAAAAATGTTGATCTAGAAAATTGGTTGTATCCTCTGAAATGGTTTGTGTAAAATTGGCATTATTGCTTCTTTAAACATTTGGTAGAATTTCCTGGTAAAGGTTTCTAGGAATGGAGTTTTCTTTGTGAGAAGGCTTTGAATTATAGATTAAGTTTTCTTAGTAATTTTAGGACCATTTGTATTTTTTATTTATTCTACTGTCAGTTTTGGTAAGTTGTATTTTCATAGGAATTTTTTCATTTTATTTATTCTAAGTCCTCAGACTTATTGGCATTAAGTTGTTGATAATAGCTATCAGAAAGAGAAATACATTTTTGAAAGAAAAAAAATCATGAGTTCATGGTGGTACCTCCAATTCAAATTAAATGCTACAGGGTTTTTACTTAATTACCTCAATTTTATTTATTTTTATTTAATGCTGGAAAATCTTGATTTTTAATGGCATTAACATAATTACTTGTCCATTTTATCTACAGTGTATGTGTTTAAATTCCAAAGAACAATGCCCCTATTAATTTTTTTAAATTTAATTTTGGTTCAATTTTAAACACTTCCATGGTTTCAAAGTCAAAACTATAAAACCAAAGTATGCTCAGGGAAATCTAAATTTCATCCCTGATCCTTCCTCCCATTTTCTTCCGTTGGTGTTTCTTTTTGGGTGGAGGAAGACAAATATATAAGCAAGCATACATAGATGTGTGTATGCTTATACACACATTTCTATATAGATATGTATCCCTTTACGTATTCATACTTCTTTCTCAGGTTTCTTTGTATTTCTTATACAAAGTATTTTACCTGTGCTTTTCTGGATTTTTTTACTTAACAGTATATCTTGAAGATTACTCCTTAGCAGCATACAGATATCTTTTTCATTTCTTTATGTGACAACCATATACTTCACTGTATGAATATACCATGCTTTATTCAACCAGTCTCCTGTTGATGGACATTTGTAAGGAGATAGTAACTTTTACAAGACATTTTCCATTCTATAGACCATACCATTGTAGCATTGGTCAGCAGGACTATTTAACCTGATTTAAACATTTATATTACAAACGTTTTATTTTACACATTATGCTCATATTTAATTTATAAGATGCTAGATTTCAATGTGTAGTATGCTGGCAGTGAGTGTATTTTTTAATTGGAAAGGCAAAATTCATATTTTTAATTTCTCCAGATTGGTTTTCTTATTAGTAGGATATGTTCAAGCCTTTGTGGCTTTTGCCTTATAGGTACCACTGTTCAATTTAAAAGACTTCTGTTTGTTTATGATTATCACTCTCACTTATCTAGTTATGTTACCAATTTAATCTCATTAATTTCTTACTCAGGTGATAGGATCTCTTATCTTTATAACATCTTAAAAACATAGATTCTCACTGTAGTTTGTTTTGGGTTATTTGTTTATTTGTTTTGGGGTGTTTTGTTTTGTTTTTGAGACAGAGTCTCACTCTGTTGCCCTGGGTAGAGTGCCGTGGTATTGCTCACAGCAACCTCAAACTCCTGGGCACAAGTGATCCTTCTTGCCTCAGGCTCCTGAGTAGCAGGACTACAGGCACACGCCACACCACCAGGCTAGTTTTTCTGTTTTTAGTCGAGATGAGGTCTCACTGTTGCTCAGGGTAGTCTCAAATTCCTGAGCTGGAGCTCTGCATCCACCTTGGACTCCCAGAATGCTAGGGTAATAGGCATGAGCCACAGTGTCTAGCATGTTGTTTTGAGAGAGGGTCTTACTGTGTTGCCTAGGCTAGAGAAGAGTGACTGTTTGAGCTTACAGCAACCTCAAATACCTGGGCTCAAGCAATCCTCCTGCCTCCGCCTCCTGAGTAGCTGGAACTACAGGTTCACACCACTACCACACCCAGACAATTTTTTTTAGATTCTGTAGAGATAGGTATTGCTATGTTGCTATTGTTAGAATCTTGCTCTAACAATTCTCCTTTCTGGGCTTCCCAAATTGCTAGGATTATAGGTGTGAGCCACCACACCCAGCCCTCTCATTGTAATTTATTAGGTTGAGAAGGCCTTATAGTAATATATCTATTAGTCATCTGCTTCAAGGAAGTACTAGCTCCTAAATTAGATATTATTATCTACATTAAATATTTGTAAATTAGGAACTCTCCATATTATTTCAGTTTTCTGTGATTTGATGAATAAAGCATTCTTCTCAAGCTCATATCTGACTAGTAGTTCCCTTTGTTTACTTTTATTTGCCTTCCATTTACAGAATTTTAGTAACCAATCATGATTTCTCCTTTATAAATCCTCCATGGACTTTACCAAAGTGTTATGTGATCTCAATTACATAGTCTTTTCTCCAGTTCCCCCTCTGAGCACCCATATTCCATTTTAACCTCTAATATACTTTTAGTATTCTTTGATTGCCTATCCCAGGGAAACCAAAATGCGACCTTGACTCAACAAAATACTATAAGTACTTTCGCCTCCTTCCGAAGAGTGCAAATACAATCGTTATCATAATTTACCTCCTGCTCCTGCTTACCTCCCTGCTCTAGCTTACATGTTGCTGTTGTCATCATCATGTATTTGAATTTGTGTCAGACCCCCCAAATGTAATTAGCTGGCTGTTTTTCATAGCGCACATTCGTGGGCCATGCTTACTGCTCCATGCATTTCTGTTATCTCATTTATTCTTTAAAATGGCCTAATGTGGTAGAAATTATTATCTTTATGTGATAGATGAGAAACTAAGGCAGAGAGAGTTTATGCAATTTACAAGTTCACATGGCCAGTAAGTGGCAAACTTGGGATTTAAACCCAGGCATTATGAGTCCACAGCATTGTCTCTTAACCAATATAAACTTAAATCATTATTTTTTCTGTCTTTCTCTCACTGAAAAAAAATGACATGAACCAAAAAGTTCTCAGTAAATATAGGATTTTTGACTATTAGGTCGATGGGCTCTCCCTGACCAAGTATGAGGGTAAAGTTCATTTTTTTTTTCATTCTTTTAGCTGACATAGCCCAGAGATACAGAATAAGCAAATATCCAACCCTCAAATTGTTTCGTAATGGAATGATGATGAAGAGAGAATATAGGGGTCAGCGATCAGTGAAAGCACTCGCAGATTACATCAGGCAACAGAAAAGTGACCCCATTCAAGAAATTCGGGACTTAGCAGAAATCAACACTCTTGATGTAAGTTGTAACTTTTGCCAGATCTAATGAACATTGCCTGTTTAATGTGAAGAAACCCTGATGCAAATAAAGAATCTGGACATTCCCCTATCATTCATTACAATGGATTTGACATATGCATTCTTAGTAAGTTGAATTATTCTTGAATTCTCAAGGGAAATGTTAATGTTTTACTGAACTTCTAGATCAAATACATAGCAAAGTCAGACTATCTTGAATTATTCGAGGGCAAAGGGAAGCCTGAATTATTAAGAAATGGAAATTAAAGTCAAACATAGACAACCAAGTTTCCATATTTTTCTTAGTAGAGACCTTCAGGGTCTCTGCTATATTCACTCTTTACCTGTTCTTCATGCAAATTTTAGTGTCCCTAAAACAGCTCCCTCTTAATCATAACCTTAGGTAACCCCTTTCTTTGTATACTAAAAAGCGTTTTACAAATAACAACAGAAGCAAACACTATTGAGTTTGGGCTTTATCACAATCACTGATTGTCACTGTCAGGTTTGAGATTGATTGTACCCTATTTACAAACTAATAAATTAGCCAATTACCATTTCATGGATTCTGTCAGACTCCTAGGTGAGAGACCCAGACTCCTGAGTTAGAGACAAAGTACTTTATTGCTCACATCACTGCAAGCTATGTGAGTGTGCATGTTTGAATTTGTTCCCTTGCCCCCCACGTGCAGGGAAGCAACCCAGTCCTGTGGAGGCAACACGGAGGGCCCAGATGGATGCCTGCACATGTAGTAGCTTTGTCCCCATAGAGGAGCGCCGGACTTGGGGAACTCACCATTTCAGGGCAAGCAGTAATCATGCTCTTTGTCTTGCAGGGCAGACATGACTTCATATCTCAGTGTTGCTTACTGCAAGCACAGCCCTGAGAAATAGCTTGAGTGAGGAGGGGTCAGGGTCTTGCAGTTTTGGTAGTAAAGTGAGTGTGAGGGACCCCTGGAGGATTGTTTACCAATAGTCACAAGTTACTGATACACTGTTTTTAATATATTTTAAGATAAGTCACCTTAGGAAAGACTGTCACTGATCAAATAGTTATGTATTTATTGAAATTTTAAAATAAAATTCTAGAAGGAAATATTTATATTTGTGGAAGTGAAGATTGTTTTTACCCATATCTAATCTTTAATATTTTTGACTAGGTGTTAAAAGCTAAATATGCATTTATGATCATACTTCATTTGGAGATAGTTGAAAAACAGTTGGAGCTGTCCTTTACTCCAGAATAAGGGATAAATGACATAACATGTTTATAGAACTACATGTTGCAAAATAATTATATACTTTATTTTACAGCGTGGCAAAAGAAATATCATTGGATATTTTGAGCAAAAGGATTCAGACAACTATAGAGTTTTTGAACGAGTAGCAAATATTTTGCATGATGACTGTGCCTTCCTTTCTGCATTTGGGTAAGTATCTTAATTAAAAGTGTGTTAGTGGTCAGCTTGACTGCCTTGTTAAATACTTGTATTTTGTAATTTTTGAAGATGACCTCTCCAAAGATTTTCTCAGTCCTCTTAACGTCACTATCAGTCTTTTTATTAGTATTTATCTCTGAATTCTTTTTAAGGGTTTCAAAAAATTTATTCTCCTTTCTACAGTATATTCTGTTTTAGAATGTGGGTAAGAGGGAAAGAATGGATAAGTTATCAGTTAACACAGTAATGCCTTTGGTATCTCATTTACTAATACGTTTCCTGTGCCCGGCAGAATGCTAACCTGTGGGGTTCCCAGACTGTCTTCTTGTTAAGTACCGTGGGCTTTGTTGTCTTCATTCATCCCCATCTTTCCACCATCTTTTCTTCTATCTTTCCTCTCTCACAGGAACAGTTCTCCTTTTAAGGGTAATCTTTCACTGGTGTCTGTGTACTTGTCCCTTCAAACTCCTCTGGGGCTTTGTTCCATCAGTTGTGTCTTTCTTGTGTTTTCAACCTGACTCTTTTTATATGAATTGCTTTCCATTTCTGAAAACACACTGCTTTCTTTCCTGAACTGCTTCTTCTATATCTTGAGCTATAATTCATCTTTCTTTTCATTCCCAATCAGTTGTGTCTGGTTTCTTATGTTTTCTTTTTTTTTTTTTTTTCCAGTGGTAAGATAGGACTTTTATTAGAAGTTAGAAAGGAATGCAGAAGAAGTAAAAAGCACCAGAGCTTCTGGAAGGGGGAGAGAACTGAAGAACTCACTCGGGAGTCTCCACGTGGGCTCCTTTATCTAGGGGTCTTAGGTCTAGAGGATTACACCTGGCTGGCAATTGGTCCTTTACAGTCTTTGTCCCTGAGAAGGGATTTGGTTTCTTATGTTTTCAACCTGACTCTTTTTTTATGAACTGCTTTCCTTTTCTGAAAACATGCTGTTTTCTTTCTTGAACTGTGTCGTCTATACCTTGAACTATAATTCATCTTCCTTTTTATTCCCACGTTTTTTCAAAATTTAGGTTATGCTTGGTTGCCTTGATTTTGCTTAGGCATTAACTAGTAAAAGTTCTTAACCTCTTGGAAGCTTTCATGTCTGTCACTGTAATGAAACTTGTTGCTGCACAGTCACAAAGTAACTTCTTAGTTACCAAAGCCACTGCCTTTTTTTCATTCTTAATCTCCTTGTGTTCCTCTGAAGAATGTGACAGGCAACTACTCTTTCCTTTATCTGTATCTATACTTATTTTCATTTAATCCCTCTGGTTTGCTGCTTATGTTTCTGAATTTGCTAACTTTATCACCTTTTTTTCTTTCTTTCTCAAAATGGAATCATTTTTAGGGTTCTGTTCTTGAACCTCTCTTCTCCTTGGAGGTTGCTCAGTTGTCCTTTGACTTGAATGTCATATTCTTTCTCTTTTTTTGTGGGTCGGCTTATTACTGTTAGGCTCAGTTGCAGTAGCTATCTTGAGTAAAGCCCAGATTCCTGACATAGTGTGTCTACTCCATTTTGTGACCTTTGATCTTGGACCTTGCTTTAATGCTTTTGTAGATTTTGTTTATGTATATCTTTTATTGCAAGCGTTATTGATGTAGACCTCCCCCTGCCCCTGCCATGATTTTCACGTTATATACTGTGCTCTAGCCATACAGGCCATCACTCTGTTCCTTAAATGCTGTAGGCCTTTGCTCTTACTGTTCTGTATCTGGGAGTGCTTCTTCCAGATGTTATCTCATGGAAAAGTCCTTGCCTTATAACCCCATAGAAAGTAGCACTACCATCATTCTTTACCCACTTACTCCACTTTTCTTCATAGCATTTTTTTAAAGCCATCTGAAATAAATATATCTACTTGTTAATGTCTCTTTCCTCAACTCACCAAAATGTAAGCTCCAAGAGAGTAAAGAGTTTTGTCAGTTTTGTTCTCTGCTGTATACCCAGTGCCACGATCGTACCTGGTATGAAGGAAATGAATAGTAAATAGTTACTGAATTAATTAATGAAGCATGTTCTTCTTTCTGTTCGCACTGTCATCAAGTGTAGGTTAGCTCTCCTTGCCTCTATCTCCTGGACTACTCTAGTATGAAACTGAAAATAAATCAGTGTTTAATTAATCTAAAAATAATTTAGAGAAAGGGAGAAAGTTATCCATTTGACTTAGAATTTGTAATCGAAGTTACTTTCCAAATATTTGTTGAGCACCTGTTATGTACCAGATACTTTACTAGGCACTGGAAACAAAATTAGACAAGTAAAACATACTTACAGAACTATACTTTAGATATGTAGGTTATTTAAGTTCATCTGTTTTTTATAAATTTTGGTTTTAAAAAGTAAGAAATAGAAAATTCATGGTTGAGTCTGATTTATAAGGAAATTAATCAATCTCTGTGACCAAATCAATAACCTTGATCCAGTTGCTGGAAAACAGTCCAGGATCAAAAACAGCTTTTTACCACTAAAACTACCAACATAAATTTCTGTAATACAAGTAACTAAAATAGCTAACTAAAATTTCCCTTTAAACGTATACTTTTCTTGGTATTGTGCATCCTATAGGAAGGAAAGATGATGAAGAATATATTTCAAGTCTGTAATTCACACACTGCAAAGTATAAGCTAATTCTTAGTCATTCTGGTATATTGCCATTATTAGTTTTCTTAAAAAGCATTATCACTGTTTTTCCCTTCCTGTTAGGGACGTTTCAAAACCAGAAAGATACAGCGGAGACAACATAATTTACAAACCACCAGGGGTAAGTTGCTAATTCTTAGGATGTGTGATCAGTGATATTGAAATATATGTATAGTATACTCTGTGCTTTTATATGAGTTAATATTCATAGAATTGTAGAATTTTAGGATAGTAAAGAATCTTGAAGCATCATATTCTAGTGCTAATCTAAACCTTTAAAAGTGGAGATGGGGCCACAGAGGCCAAAGTCATACAGGCATCTAATAGCAGATGGTATTAAAAGGTCCCCTGACCCTCTGGCCTTTCCAGCCTTTCTGTTTTGCATTCAATCTGGGAGCCAAATCCAAACAGTGCTTCAGTGGTGCAGTCATCACCCTCACTTGCGCTAGACAAGCTCCCAGATGTGGTGTATCAATTTGCTTGATATTTGCCAGATAATAAGGAGCAGACAGGTTTCAACCCTTGGGCTAGGAAGTGTTAAGTGTGTCTAAAACATAGAAGTAGCTTCTTAGGCCCAGATGATGGTAGCCACAACTAAGAGGCAAAGTCATAGTGTTTTATCCCAAATGGACCTAAAGTTCTGCCATTGCAATTTTTTTTACCCACACAAAAATGAAATTTGTGGATAGTTTTTCAATTCATTGTTTTCATTTTAATGTCTATAGTGTTTTGACATACTGAGATTTTTAACTTTCACGTAGTCAGATAAATGAATTTCTTGCTTAGAAAGCTCATTTCCTATTCTGAATTTAGATAGGTATTTGCCTGTATTTTCTGCAAGTGCATTTCCTTAATAGTAGCTTACAGAGTGCCATTGTCTCTAGATTATCAGAATTCGATATGGTGTCTGCCGGTGTAGTGGTTTATTAGAGCATAATCTCTTAACAGTGTCAGACTGTCTGAGTTTGAATATCAAATATGCCACCTTCTTAGGGGTGGCATGCTAGGAAATTTTCTTAGCTCTCTGTGCTTCACTTTCTTTGTTAATAAAAAAATAGGCGATGATGATAACAGTACCTGCCTTAGAGAGATGTGGGAGGATTAAATCAATCAACACATAAAATGTTAACAGCAGTGCTTGGATACAATCAATTTACTCAATATTAGTTACTTTTAAAAATCATTTTAGGCATTTTATAAATACTGATTTTGAGTGAATGTGGAGACAGATGTGTAGGTAATTGATAATAGAAACAGTCATGCCTTACATCTAGTAAAGATGCCTATAGGATCTTGTATTTTTCAAGGCTTTTTCACTCTTGAAAGTTTTCTTCTAATATTTTTAACTGTGAAGGAATAGATAGATCAATTTATTTGGAGAATAATTCTTTTCACAATGCCTGCTTGCTTTTGGTGAAGATTCTGACAGTTAACTAATGTAAATCCAAGGAAGAGCAGAAGGCTGGCCATCACATATTGCATTATCAGGTCCCTGGTAGGCACAGGAAGATTAGCTTTTTGCTGTGTATGGCCCTCTTTTTCAGAAGTTCCACGTTTTATGTTTCTTTTGTATTTCCAGTAGATTTTCTGGGTTCTTAGATGGATTTAGGAATGTGCTTTTGACCGTACATATTGGATTTGTTTAAAATATTTTTCCTTTTTTTTTTTCTTTTGGTGACAGCATTCTGCTCCAGATATGGTATACTTGGGATCTATGACAAATTTTGATGTTACTTATAATTGGATTCAAGATAAATGCGTTCCCCTTGTCCGAGAAATAACATTTGAAAATGGAGAAGTGAGTATGCTGTTATCTTTAAAATTCAGATGTCTGAAAGAGCAAGCTTTCTTTACCGTTCTTACTATTTTACCATAGAGTTATTAGTTGTAAAAATTGTGTAGTGGATATATAATAGCTATTTCCATAATATAGGCCAGTGATTGTTCATCTTTGCTGTTTCAGAAACCCTCTATTACATTTCCACTGATGTAGTAGTTCACTACAGCCTTGAAAATGAGTTTGAAAGTGGTTCTTAGGTGGTTCTGATGCCTACCCATTGGTTGACAATCCTTTTTTAAGTGGATGTCCCTTAGAAGCAAGGCTTTGTATGGTTATAATTTATTATATGCTGTGAAAATCCTTTGCCTCTAAAAAGTTTTTCTGATTCCTGTACAGCAGTTAGTTGTGTTGCATTTTTAAGTAATGGAAGTAGTTAGTCCATGATCATGTAACTGACTTTAGTCATCCCAGGCACTTGAAATAAAGCTCCCTGAAATGCTCACAAACCCACAAAACCTAAGAGGCTGAAGGAACAAGTACAGAGAGTTGTGTCTGCAAGGACTTTTCTCCTTTCTTTTCTTTTTTTTTTTTTTACTCGTAGAGACAGTCTCACTTTATTGCACTCTACTATTGCCCTCAGTAGAGTGCCGTGGCGTCACACAGCTCACAGCAACCTCCAACTCCTGGGCTTAGGTGATTCTCTTGTCTAAGCCTCCCGAGTAGCTGGGACCACAGGTACCCACCACAATGCCTGGCTATTTTTGTTGCAGTTTGGCTGGGGCCAGGTTTGAACCTGCCACCCTGGGTATATGGGTCTGGTGCCCTACCCACTGAGCCACAAGTGCCGCCCACTTCTCTCCTTTCTTTACTGTATGTGAAGCGCATATCTTTCATTTCAGCTCTTTCATTTTTAAAACTTGGGGGTCTACAAATGAAAGTTTAAAAAACTTTTTAAGTACAGTTTTAAAAAACTTTTTATATACATATATACTTCAAAGAGTTATAAGTGCACAGGTAAGATTTTAAACATACGACTCAAAAAATTATCATACAGGAAATGCACCCCTGTAATCACTACCATTCATGGTGGTATGGATTGAATGTTTGTGTGCCCCCAGATTTCACATACTAAAATCCTAATCCCCAATGCAGTGGTATAGGAGGTAGAACTTTTGAGAGATAGGCCATGAGGGTGTAGTCCTCACAAGTGGGATTAGTGTCTTATAAAAGAGACCTCAGAGAGCATGTGGAGGTATAGTGAGAAGTAGGCAGTCCATAACCCAGAAGACAGCTCTCCCCAGAACCTGACCATGCCGGCACCCTGGTTTTGGACTTCCAGCCTCTTGAATTGTGAGAAATAAATTTCTGTTGTATATGATATTGCACCCTAGTCTGTAGTACTTTGTTATATCAGTCCAAACTGACTAAGACAAAGGTGTGCAGGTTTTTTTGGTAAAGAACTAGATAGTAAATATTTTAGGCTTTGTAGTACATACATTTTTTGTTGGAACAACACAACTTTTTTTTTTTTTTTTTTGAGATAGAGTCTCACTGTGTTGCCCTTGGTACGATGCCATGGCATCACAGCTCACAGCAACCTCAAACTCTTAAGCTTAAGGGATTCTCTTGCCTCAGCCTCCCAAGTAGCTGGGATTACAGGCACCTGCCACAATGCCCAGCTATTTTTGTTGTTGTTGTTGTAGTTATCATTGTTGTTTGGCAGTCCTGGGCTGGATTCAAACCTGCCAGCTTCAGTGTATGTAGTCGGCGCCCTAGCTGCTGAGCTTCAGGTGCCAAGCCATAACAACTCAACTTTGCAGTTGTAGCACAGAGCAGTCTTGAACAATATGTAAGCAAATGGGTGTCGCTATATCCAATAAAACTTTGTTTCTGGACATGTAATTTTCACATGTCATGAAATAATGTGCATTTATTCCCTATCATTTAAAAATGCAAAGAACATTCTTAGCTTTTAGACCATACAAAAACCAGCAGCAAATCAAGTCAGAATTGACCCTTGGCTATAACTTCCAGTCTCTGAAGTAGGTCAAGAGATGGAAGATTTTCAGACCCCTTGCCTTCCTTCCTAGTCATTACCCCATTTGCCATCTTCATAACAACCATACTGATTTTGAATAGGATCATATGAAGTTTTGCCTGTTGTTGAACCTAAAATGGCATCAGAGTCTTTTGCATCTTTCTTCTTTCATTCAACTTTATGTTTGTGGAATTTATTCATATTGCATGAAGCTGTAGTTCATTTATTTTCATAGTGAACATAATTTTTATGTGAATTTTATATGATAGTCTATCCCACTATTGATGGACTTTTAGATTGTTTCCAGTTTTTGACTATTGTAAATCATTCTGCTATGGACATTCTGTTATATGTCTTATGGTGAATATATGCACACATTTCTACTGTGCATATATTCATGTGAGTAGAATTGCTGAGTCATAGGGCATACCTATATCCAGTTTTAGTAGATGATCCCAAATAGCTTTCCAAAGTGGTAGGTAGGAATGAACATTCCTACCAGTAGTGTATCAAAATTCACATTGCTCAACTCCCCTATTGAATTTGATATTATCAGCCATTTGAATTTTATCCGTTTTGTTGTATGTATAGTAGAATCTCATTGTAGTTTTAATTTGTATTTCAATAATGATTGAGCACTAACAGTTATCTCTTCTGGAAATGCAGATGGTCCTAGGAGAAAAGTAGCTTCATATCCCATGCTTATTGTCCTGGCTTTCCTTCTAGTACAGTCATGGCCTATAATTCTTTTCTCTTTTTTAAATCTTAGAGGCCCTCAAAGAGGTATTCTTTTATGTTTCTCCTGCTTTTCTAATTTTCTCAGTAGTAAGAACAATTCAAATTACATCCACCATTACACTAGAATATAGTTTGTATCACCATTGCTTAACCTGTAGCAAAACCATTGCAGCAAAACCTGGAGTTCCTTAAGGAAAAAAGAATGTAATCTCAAATTCGATCTCTTCTATTACTAAGTTGTATAGTGCTATGGGCTTAAAACATCATTGACACAATACATGAAAACTCCCTAGGATGCCCTGAAACTCCCTGAATCTACCTGGAGGCTTGCAGCTCTTGAAGATTAATATCTCTTTCCCCATATTCTGGGAAAAGAGGAACACTTAACTTTTGGAACTGGCCATTATGAGCAAACCAGAATGCTCTTTGGCCCCTCTTCAACTTGAAAGAGGGTGCTTTTCCTGGGGGCATTATTTTTTTCTTTTTTTAATCTCCACTCATTGGCATTTCTGGATTAGAGGTTTTTCTAACATTTACACTGGGATGTATAAGACAAAAAGAAAACCCAGGGAATTCGGTGCCATTTCTTGAGTTCCTAAGTCCCTAGTCAGTCTGCTTTCTTTTCTTCACTTTTCAAAGCCCTATGTTTGTTTTATATAATGTCCAGGATTTTTAACTACTTCATGGGCAGAATGGAGAAAAGTATGTCTGTTCCATCTTTCTGGAAACAAAAATCTATGCAAACAGCTCTTAAAACTTTAATTTCTTACTTGTATTTTAGCATATTTAGTGGTTTTATGTTAGCAGGGAACATTTTTAGCATACTTTTCCCACCATAAATAATATTTAAAATTAGGTGTGGTGGCACATGCCTGTAAAATCCTAGCTACTTGGGAGGCTAAGGCAAGAAGATTGCTTGGGCTCTGGAGTCCGAGGTTGCAGTGAGCTTTAATAGTGCCACTGCATTCCAGCCTGGGCAACAGAGCAAGACCTAGAACAATATTAATAATATTTTATCCTCCATAAGCTTGTAGTAAATTTATGAATGCACATTAGATTCTCTGGGTTTTTTTGCTTAGACCATTGTACACTTAAACCCTTGTAGAGTGGTTCTTTACATGAAAAGAGGATCAGTGCTGCCAGGATCCAGTGTGACATGTCAGAATGGACCAGTTTGTCTTTCTACTTGTTTATAAAAGCTGTTTCTCAAGTCATTGGAGTTCTAAAAATGGCTTCTTGTGAAATGTGATTAATATGTTTTTAAAACCAAAAGCTTAAAATCATAAACTTATCAGGCTATATTTTGTTAGTTACAATCTTATGTTAGCAATGCCAGATTTCAAAATATTTTTGAATTCTGAATCATGGGAGATGATTGAGTGAAAATTGTAACCAGTCTCTTTTCTTGGAAAGTTTCTTTTTCAGTCAAAAAACTTGCTTTACTAAGTTTCCTGATTTATTTTTCCCCATAGAATTTCTGAGAAATTTTGCAACATTATTATAAGTTGAGGATTTCCAATCCAAAAATCTGAAATCTAAAATGCTGCAAAATCCAGAATTTTGTGAGCCATCAACATGATACTCTTGGAGCACTTTAGATTTCGGATTTGCATATTGGGAATACTGACCTGGTAATAATGCAAATATTCCAAAATCTGGGGAAGGGGGGACAGAAAAACCCTAAATCCAAAATAATTCTGTTCCCAAGTATTTCAGATAAAGGATACACACACTGTATTTTCATGCAACAGCTTGGCATTTTGAGGCCATTCTGTTGTTTCTTTCAGAGTTGTTTTTGAATTTGCTTCCCAAAGTAGATATTTTCCTGAATTCTAAGTAATTCTTCTTGTTCTTTAAGATGCATCTTGTTTTTTATGTGGTTTTGTGAGGCTGTTTACCTCTGTCCAAGCAGACAAAAGCAACCTGAATAAATATACTCATATGGGTATCTTTTAATCCTGTGTCATTAGCCCTTATGACATACTGGATGTTCAGGTACAGGACTTGGCCAGATGATTAGATCAAGTAGTAGCTTTCAAACTATATTTTATTATAAGGCACAGTAGAAAATTTTCACTAGTACATATATAGTGTACATTTTTGTAATATGATACCCTTCTTTGTGTACTGGACTTAATTTTTCTATTCTTTTCCTTTCATTTTAATGCTGGATATAGGTTAGTTATATTACACATAATCTAGTCTCACCTCCATCTCCCTATCAGGGATCTCCTTTCCCTGTCATTAATAGCACTCAGTATATAGTGGACTCCTAGAGAGGTCATTTTATTTCAGAGAATTCAAAAGATTTATCCTGCAATTTGAGTGTTTGGCCACAAGATGTCAATGCAGGATCATAGCTCTATAGTACAAGAAACCTGGAAGAGATTGGATGTTAAGCTCCATTTGCTTTTGTATGTATATTCCTATTTATGGCTTTTTTATTAGTGGAAAAACATAAATAATTTCAAAACAATATTTGAGGTCCTTTAAATCATATTTTTGAAAAGTAAACATTTAAAAAATATTTGTCCACAGAAGTCCAGAAAAATTTAATAATTTGTCATAATTATTTACCTGCATGGCAGTTCTTGTAGGAATAGTTTCAAAAAACAGGAATTAAAAGTAGATCTGGAAAATCATGAACAATTAAATAGCCTCTTCCCCCCTCCTACCCTATAGTATAATACTTAATAATTGACATGCTTAATAATTCTTGAGATTTATTATATGTTATAACCAACCACTCATAGATCATTTAAACTAAAGGGAAAGATTTATTTCGTCTAGATCTGGTTATCTTGATATCCTACTGAATCTTTTAATACTTTCTTGACAAAGATATGGTGATGTGGACACAGGTAAACTTGGAACCCCAAGCAGCATGAATTAACAACATACTATGTTTATGTTACTGTTTGACTTTAGCAAACTAATTAACATATATATTTTCAAATTACTAAAATGTTTATTATTACTTTCTAATAGTTGAATGCTTCTCTTTACAGGAATTGACAGAAGAAGGACTGCCTTTTCTCATACTCTTCCACATGAAAGAAGATACAGAAAGTTTAGAAATATTTCAGAACGAAGTAGCCCGACAATTAATAAGTGAAAAAGGTAGATCAATTAAGGTGTTTATTTTCATCCTTTCTTTCTCTTTTTTCTCATTCTCCCCCTCCCTTCCCCTTTTAAATTCATGTCCACATAAACATATATGGGTTAAAAGCTTATTTTAACATTTACATTCAAACGTGAGGGCAAGGGATAGAGAGATTAATAGAGAGATAATATAATAGTGGGGTGGGTTAATTGTTTTTCGTTTTCTACGTCATGAGGTTTTTGGAGACAGAAAGCAAATGGCATGAGAAGTAGGGTTAAGAGTACATTTGATTTTGATACTTTCAAAATTTCAGTCTCTTGAGGCTTTTCCGAACCCCTTTCCAATAGACATTCTCAGAGATATAGCTGAGAGAGCTTACATAGTCTGATTAACATTTATTCATAAGTGAAAGAAAGTTGAGTACTTATCTCTGGACTTCTCTAAAGCATAGAATGGAATTTGCAGTACTATCAGCTTCCACTCTAGTTAGGAAAGAAAGTCCAATAAGATAAATCAAAGGGATTGTATAGTGTTGCCCATTTTAGTCACCTATACTAATTTAAAGGTTGGAATAGATTAAAAACTCAATCAGTAGAATAGGTTGATGGTCTCCTGAGAATGGCTACTTTATCAGTTCAGAGACTTGCTGCCCAGAACCTGGTAATCTGCAAAGCAGGATTGCCTATTTAAAAATTAAAAATTCACTATAATATTTGAATTTGGATTGAGTTCATATAATTTCTAAGGAAATTATACTCTCTGCCCTAAGAAAGAAAAGCCTACCTCTTTTAAGTGTTGTTATATT